CGGGCATGCATTATGGATTCTGGCGGCAGTTAGACCTCCTTTTGATATGATCTATGGGAGGAAGTGTAGGACCCCGATATGTTGGGGTGAGTTCGGTCAACGGTTCATAGGGAGTACTGAGGTAGTAATCAAGACGACCGAGATGATTCAGCAGGTTCGTAGTAGACTTCAGACAACTCAGAGTGGGCAGAAGAGCTATGCCGAAAAAGATCCGATCATACATGGAGTTCTAGGTTAGGGATATGGTTCTCCTAAAGGTGTCACCTTGGAAAGATGTCATCCGATTCAAGAAGCAGGGAAAGTTGGACCCCATGTATATTGGTCCTTTCAGGGTTGTAGCCTGGGTGGGCAGGGTAGCGTATTGTTCGGATCTCCCAGAGGAACTCATTCATATTCACAATACTTTTCACGTCTCTCAGCTGCGGAAGTGTTTTATTCATGATTCTGCAGTGGTTCCATTGTAGGATATGCAGGTGGATGACCTCCAAAACTACATTGAGAGACTGGTAGTGATCCTCGAAAGGAAGATGAAAACCTTGAGGAACAAGGTTGTTGAGTTGGTGAAGATGCAGTGGCAGCATCGGAAAGGTTCGGAGTGGACTTGGGAGCCTGAGGAAGAGATGAGGGAGTAATACCCAGAGTTATTTCCGAAAGCGGACTTTGAGAAAAAAGCATGATTCAAGTGGGGGTGAATTGTAACGCCCGAGTCGCCAGGTATAAAGTTTAGCCATTATTTCAATTAAAATCAAAGACTAGTCTATGATTACTTTAGGCGTACACTAGGTACACACGGCTTACTCCTTTGCATACACACATCGGGGTGATCCCTACGTAGGATGGGCATACATAAGGTATACTCAAGACAGGGGAAAACCCTAATATTTACGGTTTTCACATTATTTAAACTCATTAAGTTCCTCAAGACCATCACCTTATCAGCCTCCCTTTCCTCTTAAGTCATATCTCGAAACCCTAATCGATCTTCCTTAAAGTTTGAGCTTGTGTGTGTGTTTTTGGTGTGTGTGGTGCTTAAAGAAGAAGAAGAAGAATGAAAGATCTAGTATGCTCAAGAGTCATATTAAAATGATATTTATAAATAACATATGTTCCTAAGGGTCACACTAACAACAACTTGATACAAATGATTATTTATTAAAAATTGATTTTAATAAATATTCATAAACTCTTATAATAAATTCGGAAAATATTTATTTCAAGGAAATAATTATTTTACAATACAAGTAACACATTATTCCATAATGTATGAATTAATAAGTCATGTACAACATTTTGGACTAGGTAAGCTTTTTGTCTTTTAGCAAAAGAAAAAGTTTATATCTTATAAACTTTGATTATAAAATATAAACCAAATCTTCTCTTTTTTACCAACATGGCCGGCCATGCACGGGGAAAGGAGAAACATGGATTTCTTATTTGTTTAATCAAAAGTATTCAAGGTATGGTGCATGCTTGGGGATAAGGTTGTCTAAAGTGCTAATGGTTAAGGACTCTTGGATTAAAATTCTACTTTAAAAGGATGGAGAGTGCTTTCATTTTGATCACTCCTTCCTTGTAGTTGCCAAGAGCTCCTCCCTCCCCTCTCCATATTCTCTCAAGTCTTGCACTTTGAAGATATTTGTTACTTGCATCCTCTCTTTAAGTCATAATCTTGTTTGATTTTAAAGCTTAAGAGTTGTAACCAGCATTACATCAAGTTGGAACATTGTTGGTGTCTCAAGGGTTCATCCTCACTCCATCAACTTCCAAGCCCCCCTAGAGGACTCAAAGCGCTTCAAAGGTTGTTACCAATTCTTCCTTCTATGGTTGTATTTTAAATCTTTCCTTTACTTGCAAGATGATCCTTGGTGGGTGATAAAGTGTTTATGTTATTTATAAAACTCAATTCTTCCGTTTGCCATTATTTGTAGTTTTTGAAACTAGTTTTTTAAATAAAACCCAACAAAGAAGAGTTGTGAAGAAGCATTGGATCAGGGAGAGTTTGTAGATCCAGAGGTTTCTCATTATTTCTATCTTATTGAAGGTAAAAAGCTTCTACCTTGATGACTCCATGTGTTAGTTTGTAGTTTAGGGCTTATTTCTTCATAAAATGATCCTTTAAGGTGTTCTTGAGAGTATGAGCTACTCAAGAAGGTTATAATGTTAGATTATAGTGTTTCTAACGTCCCTTGAGCATAAAAATGGAGTCTTGATGGATTAAGTTCAATCACGAAAGGATTGAAGGTGGTTTCATGAAGATAATGTGATTTAATCCAATATTTTCCCCATTAAGACATCCAAAAGCATAAAGTTGGCAACTTTATGGCTTAATGCACTTTAACAAGCCTAGATCTAAGATTGGACGTTGGGTCTTAACTAATTAAGACCTTGGAATGAATTTTTGGCCAGCTACAACGTACGTCGGCCACACCTTTGGGTACGCTACGCGTACGCGTCTGAGGTCCCGATAATGCAAGGGTTGCGTGTACATCGGGCGTACTGGTTGGTACGTTGAGTGTACTCATTAGGGGGGGGGGGGTCTTGGGCTTGTTTCGGGCCATGTGTGGGACTTAGGGACTTTGGGTCCATGTTGGGTCGTAAGATTTTGTTGTATTGGGCCTTTGGGGCATGGGCCTATTTTAGACATAGGTTATCTATTGGGCTTCTTGGCTAGTAGCATTTGGGCCTTGATGGGCTAGGCCTAATAAGGTAAGGAATAATTAACTTTCTCCCTTAAGGCCAGGACTTAGGGTTTGGACTTTCGGGCTGGATTATTGACCTAATTTCTAATTAGGGTTTCTTTACTTGTTATTTAGTGGGGATTTCCGGTTCAGCAACCCAATCATTTGTTTGACTGTCAGCAAAATGAGGTGAGTTTGCTCACTATATTGTAGGACACTAGGATATGTTATGTACTTGTAGTCTTTGTGACTCCTGTTGTATGTGTTATATGACTGTGTGCCTGTTTGCTATATGTATGTGGGGTGAAATAGACCCGGTATAACCTTGTGCTGACATATGAGTTGAAATTGACTCGGGGGTGAAACAGACTTGGGGGTGAAAAAGACCCAGTACGGCTTGGGCCGACGCATGAATTGAAATAGACTCGGGGGCGAAACAGGTCTACAGGTGAAATAACCCTGGTACGGCTTGGGCCGACGCATGAGTTGAAATAGACTCGAGGGTGAAATAGACCCGACACAGCCTTGAGCTGTCACATATGTATGGTATGCGGTATTTTGGGGAACTCTTTAAGCTTCGTGCTTACGGTTTTTAGTTTATGTTTCAGGTACTTCCGGATTGAAGGGGAATAGCTCGGGGTGATCGCATCACACACACCATATTGTTCTGCATTTTATTTGACTCTGATGTATTTGGATGATTATGACATACTCTGATTTCATTATGGTTTTATGAAAACGTTTTGGATGATGGTTTTATTATTATAAAATTTGAAATTTTTAGTATTAAATTTCAGGACGTTACACATATCCTTTGACGCAAAAGCAATACCAAAACGTCACATTCTAACTTAGGCATTGGAGAGCTATATCGGGGTCCAACCCTCGGTATGGCTGTCTGACCTAGTTTTTGTTGTTCTTACATAAAGTGAATTCCCGGACGCCTATAGGACAAAACCCTTTTGGGTAAAAGAGCTCATCATGCGCCTGTAGTTCGTCGTATCAACAAGGTTGATAAAGGTCAATGAAAGGGACTAAAGCCTTTAAGATCTTTCACTAAAGCCTTTAAGATGTCAACATGATCGGTAAAAGTTCTTTGGGAACCGAGACATGGGACATTTAGATCAAATTCTATTTTTTTTGCTAGAAGAACCATTATTTTTTTTTTGTTATATCATTTCATTCCACCGATGGATCATCGTCTACTTCCTCAATAATAACTTTAAGTGGGAGACATGAGGTACATTTTGAGGTTGGTGTTACCATGTTCAGTGATTACCTTACCTTAAACTGACTTGCATACCTTGCCAACGTTAGGACATCTTGATCATTTTCAATAGGTGATATTTTGAAATTCAAATGTGTTTTACGTATGCAAAATGGTCCTATATGGTTTCCTTTTTCACATCATCGTGTCAACCTCGTGAATAGAGAATTCGTCAACATGGACGTAGTCTACGAACGCCACATTACCATGAACATACTTTCTTCCATGTGATTTAGTGAAAATCCCTCCATAATTAACTCGCATTATAAAGATATTCCGTAACATCCTTATAAATACAAAAACAAAATTGTTAAGCTTTCCCTAAACTGAAAAAATAAAAATAAAAAATACAAAGCCCCTGATCGGGTTTGAACCGAGAGCTTATGCCTTACCATGTCATTACTCTACCACTGAGTTAAAAGAAAAAAGTTTGGTTCATGAAATTTCTAAACGGGTCAAATGAGTTTCAGCAACAAATGTAATAACATAGTACAACTTATTGTACTCTTTCTTCGAATCAAGTTCGTGGTTGGTTCTCAGATGTTCCAACTTATATGTTTAGACATGGTTCTTTTTTCGTTTAAATTGGTGTGGCATGATTTGATGTCGACGATTCAAATGCAGATCAAGAAAGGGTTTTCTTAGGGAGGGGGGTTCATGATAACTATAGGTTAGAGACGTATTCTGAAACCATAGTCATAAGACCATTGGCAACAAAACGGATTGTGCAGCTCATGTGAGGGCTTCATAATAGAGTTTAGTAGACGATAACATAGGTACGGATAAAAAATGAATGCTTTTTGAAACCCATATAGATGTTTGTCATCAATTTTTCAAAACTTGGAAACTAGACTACTATTTCTTTAAGTTACTTAAAATTTTCGTATTACAAATCAAACGTTATCAAAATGTTTATATACAAATATGGTTTTTTTGTTTTATGTTATAAAAATTAAGTTCTTTTATGACGAAAAAGAGAAAGGGAATCCCCTAAAACGCTGCCACACTATAAACTTCCACGAACCTAAATGCAAACCCACACTCTCCCACTATCTCTCTACACATATACACAATCTTTGCGTGCCTTCATCATCGTCTTCTTCTCTTTCTTCAATGGAGGTTAATATCCGAGGCGGATTCTCTCTTCTTCTTCTCGCTATCTTCCTTTCAGGTATATTCGTTCTCAAAAACAATTGTCGAATACATTTTTTTTTTCAACTTCTGCCGTTTAATTCGCATTGTTCTGAATGCAATGCAGCTGTTTGTTTGATCGTTAAACTTAATTTCCTTTCTATTGAACTTTCGCGAGCTATTAGCTGCTAATATCAATCGTTTCAACTTCGTATTTCTGCTAGTTTACACATTCTGATCATTGATCATATTGTCTACCGCTGCAGTCGCATCTTAATCTGAAATATCTTATAAAATCACTGATTTACGAATTTTTGTTGATGCGAACTAGTTCTTGCAACACAATCAGGCCTTTTAATATCGATCGTAGCTATTTGATTCATAGATTCGTTAATAATGCGCGCGAGTTACGATTTTACTTTGTTTGTATCTTCGGTGATCAATGTCGTGATCAAAATCGAGTGTGTTCTGAGATGTAACTAGATATGATTCGTGATTTGCAGGAGATGAGGTTTCAGCAGCCGTGTTTAGGTTACAAAACAACTGTAGCTATACAATCTGGCCGGGGACGCTCTCCGGCAATGACGGTGCTGCCTTAGGCGACGGCGGATTCTCATTATCACCTGGCGCCTCTGTCGAGTTCTCTGCTATGCCAGGCTGGTCGGGCCGGTTCTGGGCCCGAACCGGTTGCACTTTCGACGAATTCGGAAACGGTAACTGCCAAACCGGCGATTGCGGCAGTACTCTTAAGTGCAACGGCGGTGGTGCACCACCGGTTTCCTTAGCCGAATTCACCATCGGCGGCGGCGGCATCAGTAACAGCGACAAGGACTTTTACGACGTCAGTCTAGTGGACGGGTACAATGTGGGAATCGGCATAAGGCCAACAGGTGGCGCCGGCGACTGTCTCTACGCCGGTTGCATAGACGACCTGAACATCAAGTGTCCGGCCGAGCTGAGAGTAGTCGACAACAATGGCGTGGTGGTGGCTTGTAGGAGCGCGTGCGATGCCTTCAAAGGAGCTGAGTTCTGTTGCACTGGGGAGCATGCAACTCCGGCGACATGTGCTCCGACGCAGTTCTCGGAGATGTTCAAAGAGGCGTGCCCGAGTGCTTACAGCTATGCATATGATGATGCTTCCAGTACGTTCACTTGTTCCGGGTCGGATTATCTGGTAACATTCTGTCCAACAACTAGGTTTTGATATCAGAGATTAATTACCAAATTTTGATTTTAGAAACAAAATCATTGAGATTGATGATGACTTGAAAATCTTACTCTTTTTTGTGTCAGATTTTTAATCAGATGAATACTTGATTAGTTTATGTAGGATTTCAGTCTGCAATTGGTACTTATTGTTTTCTTTTCAATAATCTAATATGTGTGATATTGGTATTATACTATTATTATTATTAGTTGATTAATTAGGTTTGCCTTGATTTAAATTTTAAATTTGATCTCTCTTCTTAGAAAACACAAATTATCCACCGACCTATTGTACTTGCAATGTCTTGATTTTTAAAATTTTAGATAATTTTAATTTTAATAATAGAAAAAACTTCTGACATATTATAAAAAGTGTTGTTTCTTTTTTTGAATTAAGAAACTTAATATGTACATTACTTAACCCATAAACAATTGTTGCCTTTTTAATGGTATCATTTCATATTATTGAAACTGTATTTGTTGCATTTACCCAAGACTATAATTAGAAAATGCATAAAAAGTTAAAAACTCCTACCAGTTAACAATAACTAAGATCATATAATACAAAAGCAACTAGAGTTCAACAAAAACAACAATCTTTATAAAATTACGTAAATGTTAGGGTTATTTCTTTTTTATTTAATGGGTTAAGGAGTTAAAGCTTATAAATGTAGACCATTATAATTTATATGTGAGTGTTTTTTTGTCATTGTTAAGACACAAACCGTTTACTTATTTTGCCTTTATTCTCGTGAAACTCCCCTCGCATTAAAACTAATGAACATTATTTGTTGAAATAATGTGTAAAGCATATTTGACATGTGAGTCTAAAAATGTGACATAACCTCGTAGATATCCTAGGCGTGTCCAAACTGGAAAAGGATACCTTATGCATGAAATTTTGAAACGATGTTAAAACTAGGGATGTTATTCGGGTCGAAACCGGACCAAAACATCCAAACCTGAATAATCCAAAAACCGAATAAGCCTAATTGGAGGAACCGAAACCCAGACCGATTAAACCTAATATGAGTTCGGTTCAGTTCAAGTATTAATCAGTATGGGTCGGTTATCACCTGAATAACCTGAATAACATTCACAATATGATTAACGACCTAATATAACTGAAAAGAACCAAATAAACCGTATTATGATTCCATACCCCGAATAATATTTACAATATAACTATAAACACTGTAATTTTTATTACTTTTGTAGCTTATGATTCCATAACAAAACTTTTAAAGAAACAAATTTGTTGATTAAAAATAATGAAAGTATACATAATTGTTTCAAATGTGCAAAAAAAATGTCAGAATTTGTGTAGTAAGCATGCACAATAAGAAAAAACATATAATTGTAAGCTTACATGTAAATACGGATGTGTAGTAAGCATGCACAATAAGAACAAACATATAATTGTAAGCTTACATGTAAATACGGATTATATATTTTGTATGTTTTTGTTCCCAAATTAATGGACCAAATATATGATATACACTGAAAATGATTTCATTTTTTTTTAATTTATTGTAAACACGAATTAACTATTCTTGAGATATAAGAATGTAAAATTCAAACGTCCAAATCAAGCAAATCAAGCAGATAACGAACACGCTATGACAGTTAAAAGTTGCATAAATTTCTACAAACATGTTGAAATAGAAAACTTAGCTTCAATACCTCATGTTTAAGGACATGTATCTCATTGAATATATAACCCAAAAATAACATATAAACTATGTAAATAGTAGTTTAAATTGTGAAGTACAAGCTGGAAAAAAAATCAGACAAATCGGACAAATAACGAAGACGATATGACAGTTTAAAGTTTGCTAATTTCTTGCAAACATGCTGAAACAGAAAACTTAACTTCAATATCCCATGTTTAGGGGCATGTATCTCATTGAATATATAACCAAAAATAACATGTAAACTATGTAAATAGTAGTTTAAATTGTGAACTACAAGATAGAAAAAAAAATCAGGAAAATAACGAAGACGCTATGACAGTTCAAAGTTGCCTAAATATCTACAAGCATGCTGAAATTCCGGGTCGACTATTTAGAACCGAATAAGCTCATATTTGGGTAACCTAGACCGAAAAACCCGAGATTCAAATAAGCCTAATATAGATACTCGAAACCCATACTGGATTACTTAATCGGGCCTAATTCGGTTTGGTTCGGGTTTCGGCTTGGTTCGGTTCGAGTTTTTGGTCCAAACACTCATCCATAGTTGAAATATACATCATATAAGCTATTTATAATAACCATTTCAAAACAAAATTTTCAACTTTTAAAAAGTTTAATGTGAAGAATATAGTCTCCAAAAGTTAAGTTTTAACATAAGATATCAATTCGCGAAGCTATAACAATCAATTCAAAATCGTAAGATAAAATATTAGTCTTTACACATCTAGAAAAGGTCTTCTAAATGTCAAAGCTTCTTAAAAAATCATCCGCCCTCTAATATGTTAATCTGGATATCCGCTAAAATAAACTTGTTTGGGTTGGAAAGCATAGTTATCATTATCGGGATCAACCTTTTAAGGATATTGGATATACACAATAATTTGAATATAAAGACAATCAACTAAAAGGGTTTTCAAAACTCATAATATTAGTACATTTCAAAAATTTAGGGAAAAGCATTCAAAGTATTTTAATTGCTAAACATCATTAAATTTAAGATTTTCTATCCAAAAATTTTATGTAAAATGCAATGCATTCATGTGCTTATAATCCTAAAACTCAAGTTAATCTCAAAGTCTAAATTTCACAATGATGGATGTAAATTAGGGGTCATATATATGTTAGCACATATCATACTATACACTTTCAAAATCCATTAAAATCACCGTTCAAACTTGGTACTAGTGAGTCTTCACACAAGACCACACATGGGGTAGAAAATCCACATGTACATGTGAGGGGGTTTTAGATGTCATCACAAACTCTTTCAAAGTTCCAAATTTGGATACCTTATGAGTGTCACACCAAGTCTCAAGACATCATATATTAATACATATGATTATGTTTAAAGGCAATTCCAAAATATCCAAGTTTGTCCTTATTTTTTCAAAATGCTTTATAAAACTTCTGGATACACATGTATTATGTATAAAATTCATATAGTATATGCAGATAAAATTTCAAATAAAACGCACATGTATGAGGTATAAAATTAATATAGTATATTCACATAGAATTTCAAATAAAATGAATATTTTATGTATACAATATAGTAAGGGCCATCTATTCTTAGGTTGCAAATGTTTTCTATAACACTTCTAAAAATGTTTGAGTACTTCTTGTTCACATATGGTTCAAAGTTACTTATGTTATTAGTTACAAATTTCACCTCGAATACATATTTCAAGATTAAAAACTTCTCTTACTCATTGTGTTGTTAAGTTTCATTCCTTAAGTAATTATAAGTGTAATGGAGTTGAGTAGAGGCCATATAAAAAAACAAAACGAACAAACCGACATTTATATGTAGAACCAAAGCAATACACGGGCCGTGTTTTATTTTCCTTATAGAAAATATGACCTTGTTTTGCATAAGTACCCCCACATTGTGTTTTTTTCATCCAAAAATAGCATTGTACTTCGGGAATTTTCCTCCGGTACATGAACAACTTCCAAAGACTTTTATGGATTAAGGGTGATTTAATAATATGTTTCATTTTAACTTATTAACTAATTAATATCTAAAACTTAGTGATATCCAAATTTGAGAAATTGTTTAGAAGCTTTTAAGTTTGACCATCACTTCTTCCCAATTTGACAACAAGAACTAGATTTTACAATTAATTGCTACTACGATGCATAAGTACACTTTCTAATATGTTCTAACTTCTTTATCAATATTTAATTATTGATTAATCAAAAGATTTAAGATTAATTTGGTTTAATTATCTAAAAGCCCATTTCAGGTTGCTAAAATTTCTTTTAATTCAAATTATGAACCAATCATTGAGAACTCGACTTAGCTTACATTTTTTTGACCATTGTTAATGTTTCTAAGTTATATTTGATAACATAAGTTGCAAAGCTAATGAAATAATCCAAAATATATAAAATTAGATTTTAAAACTCCATTGAATGATTTTAAGCTCAAATTAAAGCTTGAATTTCATCATCTGGTTCATTTGAAGTTATTTACCCTATTATGTGAAGTCAATAACCAACTAATGATTCCAAATCATGAATTTTATATACCAATAAATTTTGAAATCCAATATATTAAATCGAAATCCTTATAACCTAGGGTTTGAAATTCTTCCTAAAGCATCCAAAACTCAAAATTAAATTCACTAGTGCTAGAGTTGCAGAGTAAGCTTTATTTCACAACTAAAACTACAATCCACATCACAAAACATCAATGGAATTGGATTTATGATGGATTCTCAAAGGGTGATGTTGAAATGAAGAAGATGAGTGAAGATTTGTTACCTTTTTCATGTTTCTTAGATGATTTAAGCACTACCTTCACAATGCTCCCAATTCCATCTCTACTACCAAAATCATCTCCTAACTCAAAATTGGTCATAAGAAGAGAGTGTGAGAGATAAGGGTTTAAGTTATGTGTTTACAAACTTGGTAGCACTGGTCCATCAAGTTTTAATTTCTCTTATTTGATCCCAAGTTGAACCTAAATTCTCAAAGAGAATTTATATTACTATAATAACCCTATTTCACTTTTATCTTACTATTTTACTCAAACTAGACTTAAAAAAAATCAAGTCCAAAGTCATACCTTGATTTTTTGAGTTATGCCAAACGTACTTTTATTTCTCACCCAACTTTGACTTAAGCTTCACCTATAATTAATTTAAATGAGTATTTACTATTCTTTATTTAATGACAATTCATTTTATTTATTTAATTTAATTTTTAGACTACCCCTACAAATCGAATGATAAAATTACCTCCCATTCGGACGATTCTTTCCTCGGAATCGTGGGTTCCACAAAATCGTGTGGGTATCGCTTATTCATT